TGGGCCCGAGTTCGATAGGCGACTCGGGTGCCTTTCTCCGGGAGTCGTCCTCGCTCGCTCTCTCTGTCGCTCTCTGTCTACGGAGAGAGATGGAACGCCGTGGAGCAGTGGCGCAGCATTACAGGTTGACGTTTAACACCGAGTCGGAGGCTTTCGCGACCAATATTATCCATAACCGAGGTGTTTGGATTCGATCGCATAAATGCGTCGAAACAGGATTTCTCCACAACTCTGGCTGTCGCCTGATGATGCTGGTTGTGATCACCGGCGAAACGTCGTACTCGAATTGTAGATGTTGTGGGTTTACTCTCCCAACACAGCGGTTGTGCTGAACTAATAAAGAATTATATTCTTGGTTCTTTGGTAAAGTCACGTAGAAGATAAACAATAAAATAAGAAAAATATAAAACAATTATCACGACGTTTCGATTGCAAAACCACAGCAAGAACATTTTTTTGCTGTGGTTTTCACACCTGATGATTTTCTTGCTGTGGTTTTCACACCTGATGATTGCTTGTATTGCAATGGAAACGTCGTGAGAATTTTATTGTTTTATATTTTTATTATTTATTGTTTCCCTTCTACGTGACTTTACCGAAAGAACCAAGAATATGAATCCCTGCAGTCACGAAAGCTTTCAATCAAAATTTAGTAAAGGATTGTCACGTTTTGTTTACGTGTTAAAACCTTACCGATTTCCCGCGGCGGGTTTGACCACACGTTTATATTTACGCGATCAAATCCAACAACCCCCTTTATGGAAGTTATAACTTTTTTTGAATTGTCAAGCGTTGGGGACCCTCTTTCGACGATGGTTATCACTCGAGCCCAGAACAAAGGTCGCCGCAAGGTCACCACACCGGGCCACAACTCCATTATTGCTAAGCTGAAGGGGTGGGTGGGTAAAAAAAAACCAAACAAACTTACACGAAGCAATAACTGTAATAATAACAAAAATATGTTTATTTAGAATAACATGCTGATGAAATATTACAAAATATTAAATTTAGCCTTGGATAGAAATGTAAAAAAAAATCTGTATAATAAACTAGTTTAAAAATAAAACAAATCTTACAAGCGTATTAAAGATAAATGTTAGTCGCCGGTGTGAAGGGGTTTGCCGCTGCCGGAGTACGCGTGAACAGGGCAAGGCGTGCGTAACGCAACGACCCCTTCCCCCTCCTCTGCTCGTGAGCGTCTCAAGAGAGCAGCTACGGACCGTAGCAACTTCGCAACTCTGCCCCGGCGACGTTCACTGCATTGCTGGGTGGGGTGGGGTGGGGGGCGGTGTGAAGGTGGATTTCCGAAACCAGTGCTCCTCCTTCCCATTGTTGCTGCCGCTGTTGTTGTTGTAACAGCGCATTAACATTTGAACGGGTTTAATGTTCGCCTTTTGGCGTTCTCTGGCCTAACACTGGTTGAGACTCGGCTCTAAAGAAAGCCGTCTCTGGTGTGGACCAATCAGTTTAAAAAACAACGCATCATGTATTACCAGAGCATGTTTTTGTGTTTGCATATTCACCACAAGTACGTGTGGTTAAAGCAGACATGATTCCTTGAAAAAAGATTCCGTTACGTGTTTTAACATCTGAACACCTGCTGTTTTGATTGCCAGGAAGGGTAAAACCTTTTGTAAATACAGTTCAATCCGTGCAGCATGAAAACGGGCCGAGTGCGACGCTCGATTTACGCGATTTAGGCGTTCTTCTCGGTTACCGAGCCGCTGCTGTGATCGAGCGAAGAGGTAACACCGCACCGTGCGACTCGTCATCACTACGAGCAGTGAACGTGCCCCTCGTCACCAATGTGAAGGTGCGCTTCCTGCGGGCCGTCTGGAACGTTCTTCCTTCCGGTCGACAGGAAGCCACCGGGAAGCAGGCACTTTTAAAATCGTCTCGATTGACAAGCTCGTTACGTTAGAACTGCTCTGTGCTCAAGTTTGTTTTCTTTCTCCCGTGCGAAAGAAGTTCAACATACGTACACACACACTCACACGTTCTACCATATATTTGAGCCTTGGATTGGACGCAGCAGCGTCATCCTCCCCCACCCCAGCACTGAGACAGAACCAGGGCCAAACGGGTTGGCCCCGTCCTGAAACCCAAAACATTTGTCAATAACACTGCCTGAGAAGGAAAACAATTATTTACAATATTTGAAGAAGGCCCATTGCCCGAAACGACGCCTATTATATACCTGTTATATATTCGGGCAACGCAGTGTTATGTTGATCAATGTGCTTGCTTGGGACGCCAATGCTAAACCAGCAGCAACAACAGCACCGCCACCGCCACCGCACACTTTGATTAATTATCGCAGCTGCGAGCTTAAATGCCGCGAATGCAGCCGAAGTGTAAAATTGTTTCGGAGAGAGCGAGCGAAGCGCAGCCTACGAGTTTAGCGCACCAGAGTCGGCCGAGAAGACGGCGTTTTCCCACCATCGGCAACGAAACAAAACGAGCGAGCGTGCCATCCGTGGAGCCCACCGCAACGTGGTTTGTACTGCGTGCTGAATTGTCAAGCCAGTCAAGGCACGAGCCGAGCGCACGTGGAAGCCGTGCGGAGTGTGTGCACCACCTTGTTGAGGTGTTTCGGGTGAGGCGCGAGACTGCATAGACGTTTGACGTCGACGAGTGTATGGCCTTCACTCTCTCGCCACGGGGGTGGAGGCCCACACGACGCTGCCTCAATTCGCGTGACGGCCTACAGCGGTGGTCTTCACTCATTTTCGGAGCGGGGGTTTGACAGCACGACGATGATGATGAGATGGGGGGGGGGGGGCACGTCAGGGGCCGCACTAAAGGCCACCAGGGGCCTGCCGGTGGCTCGCGGGCCTTGCAATGATGAACACCGGACGACACGAACCGAACCGTGTGCCTGGTGCACGCGCGTGCCGAGGAATGGTTTGGCAGTCTTGGCACGAACGCATCATTCAGACTTGAGTGCGGAAACGCGGCAGGTGACGCCACAATTCTGCACGTGACCCAATTCTGGAGGCAACACAATTCTGGAGATGCCACAATTGGGCGGGTGGCACGTCAACTCTGCGCCTTTTTGTCCACGAGCTCTCCCCCCTCCCCCACCCCGAGCTGTCAACGAGGTTTGTGTCTCATCAAGGCAAAGGTGGAGGGTTGCCACACACATTGACGCCAGGTGCCGGCGCAACAAAAAACACACATTCCCACGACTTTCACAGTTCACGTTAAGGCAGCAGAGGCCGAGTGGAGATTCGTGGCCTTTGGATGACTGAGCGACTTGTATTTTATCGGACACCAAACTCACGACAATTGCAATAAGACGAGTAGCGTTTTGTGACGTAAAAAAACAGCACGCTAGTTTTTGTTTGACGTGACTGGACAAATCTTCCCACCTTGTGTTCTTGCCGCAAAGCGATAGAACGGCTTTATTTTTAAAAAATCTTGTACTTAACGAAGATATACGCTGCACCACCACCACCACGACCGAGCCGCATTGCATTCAACCCGAGCACGGCCGCTCCTGCCCTTGGCGTGTTTGCGTGGAGCTTTTTTGTTCATGTGCCCTCTTCACGGTGCGGCCACGCGATATTTTGATATCAAATATTAGAGGGGCACGGGGGGTGACCACGAATCAAGAGGAGTCTGCGCTACGAACCCGGCGACCCGAGAGCGATTCCCGCTCACGGCCAACAACACCGATGACGATTATCTGAACCGGTCCTCGGCCTCCCCTAGGTCGACTCAGCCTCGAACGAGCACCTGGTGCGGTGTACCGTAAACACCGCCGCAAAGGAGAGATAACGGCGGCCGGGTGTGGTGCTGGCCACCGAACCCCCCCCCCCCCCCCCTTTCGTGTGCCGTGCCGGCCTTCGTGAGGTGCTACTCGCTTACGACTCTTGCCCCAGCAGTCTGGTAAAGGCTGTACGGGGGGGGGGGGGGGGATGTCTCATTTGTGGTCTGGCGCCTGCGCTGGAAACGCTCGCGCGCGCGTAGATCTGGCCGTGTGCTCCCCTTGCCAACGATCAAACAAAAGCCACCAGTGTCCAACCAAACGCACGCACGCACGGCGATACCAAGCGGCCATTCGCACCACCTGCGTGTACGATTCAAATGTTTTTTGTATCGACTTTTGACATTTCCTTCATAACATCAAGAGACGGAATAAAAAAAAAAGCTCTAAAGAAACCAGCAAACACCGTGTTACCTTCACTAGTTTTTTTTACAAGCCTCTTTTTTTGTTGTAAATTGTATTTACACACCAAGTTAAACGTGTTAGGGGGCGAGCTTTTGTTTTGACAAACATGTGATCGCTTGAAGTTTTCAACGCGCGTAAAAAACAAGCCATGTATAATTTTCAAAAGGCTGATATATAATTAATATTTTAAAAAAACCGTTCTCTTCAACAACAACAACTTTGCAAAGAGAGTGAGCGTCCGGGGAATGATAAATCTACATCTTAAATCGTGAACACGCGCGACAATAAAACGAAAAAAAAATACTGCAAATCCGCAAAACTCCTTTGAAAAAAAAAATGTACAATTTACACCGACGCCAATAACCTGCGCACGTGTGCATCGGCCAGCCACGGCGGCGACCTACGATCCGAAACCTACTTTCCTCCAACTCCCCCTCCTTTCGGAAGCACGAATCACAACATCTCCTTCTACACTTTAAGCTTTACAGGTCATTTCCCCCCCACCCCACCCCTCCAAACCCCAGCCCCCCCCCCCCCAAACTGCAGCGATCAGAAATATTTACAACGCTTTTTTTCAAACGGCGTCGACGAAGTGGCAGGCACCTCTCACACGTGCGGCGTCGCCGTTCGCCAACACGACGACAATATCAACAACAACAATATCAACAACAACAACAGAAGCTGTCCACGTTGAAGTGGAAGCCATTGCAGGCAATCCTTGCGGAACTACTTTCTCAGAATCCCCCCCCCCCCCCCCCCCCCAGAACACTAGGATCACAATTTGCAGGAGGAATTGTGTTTACCGACCCCCCCCCCCCTCCCAAAAACCCATACAAATGCCGCCCACAGTTACAACTTTGAGTTTTGCGAGCAGCGGTGGGAGCGCTGTTAACCGGTCGCTTGTTGCGATAAGAATGCCGCGAGAATGAGTTCACGACAACCGCGTTGTCGCAATTTGATTTGAAGCAGCCGCCCAGTAAACGTGCGGCCGTTTTGGGCCCAACGTTGCTGCCAAACGTTGAGCCGACGATCTCTCGCGCCCCCAATGGTTCCGGCCGCGTCGGCACCAACGTTGTTGGGACGTTCACTACTGGGAAGGTGTCTCGCGGGCTTTTAATCCGTAACGTTCATTTGAAACCTTCTGCTCTTTCATAGAACTTACGTTACAAAAAAGTCCCTAGGCCTTGATTGACCGTTTTGATTCTCTTTCAAAAAAACTAGCGGCCGTGCCGTGGCCATTTCTCCTTCCGTTCAATGGAAGGGGGCACACTCGTCAACAACGCCGGCAAAGAGCTGCGTGCGTAACAAGACGGGCATCGTCGCTTGACCGCAGGGCCGTCCAATGGGAGGGGGTGTGTGGGGCCCGGGCCGAAAGCCACACTGTGTGGGCCCCCCCCTCTCCACCCCGACACCTTCAAACTAAACCGGAAGTATTACATCTGACACCGTGATGTAAAAGCGCGGAGCCCCCCAAAGCACAGGGCCTGGGGCCCCCCAAAGCGTGGGGCCCGGGACCCAGGGCCCCCCCAAAGCGTGGGGCCCAGGGCAGTCACCCCGATTCGCCGTCCACCCTAGGGGATGCCTCTGCTTTGACCTGTTTCTAAATGTTTCCCACGCGAAGCTGACGAGTAGCTCCTCTCGCAAACCACAAACTTCAGTTTTTGTCGACGCTCATTATCACCAGGACGAGAGAAGGGACCCTTCAGACGAAGAGTCGCATCGAGCCAAACGGATGAAATGTTTTGAAATCTTGCAGCTATTTTTTTGAAATGTTTCAAAGAACCCTCTCGAAATGTGTCGGCGCGCTGCGACTTAACGAAGAGATACGCTGCAAAATTATCCACAGTGAAAAATAAATCCGACGCAGATGTTTTTTTTTCTCCCCAAGTTATACTTTGGGCATGGCCACTCAGCATGGATGTACACAATTGTGTTTAAGATAATAGTATCATTAAATAGTTTTTTTTTTAAAGCAGGTGGTTTTGTAACTTGGTAAAACCTCACTTTTGTGAGTTGATGCCAGCGTCCGTAGGACTAACATACGGAATAATTACCTTTCATAAATAGTCACGAACATCTGACAAACGCAACAAAATCTGTTCCATCGGCTCCGTCCGGTGACGAAGGGGTATACCAGCTGAACCATCGGCATTATTACCCGCACCATTTAACCCAAACGTAAATCGACGACGAGCCGCTGTAATATTGCTCGCGAAAGCCTACGGGCGAGAACGTAAGGACCAAAAAGATGTGGACGCTGGCACTGACTAACAAAAAAAAACGGTAATTTTTGTCGGCCCTTGACAAACAAAAAGCTGTAGCAGCTTAAATGAGGGGGGCGCTCTGTTCAGGGTGATACATTTCCCGGGCATACGACCTGGCCGCCACCTTGGGTGGTGAGCGCTGAAGCCGTTCGACAACACGGTATTCCCTCGGCTTTGTGTTGTTGGGGTTCAGATCGCGGTAAATATAAAACGTGTCGTTAAACCCCGCCGCCACCACCACCCCCGACACGGCCAATTAAATAAGGGGTTGGCACGTAAACAAAACGTGTCAATTAGTTCCCACTTGGGATAGTAAACCCCACATCATCTACAATTTTAGTACTGGGATGTTTCTCTGGTGATTACAACCAGCTTCATCGGGTGGTTCGTCAGAATTTTGAAGACGTCATCCTGTTTCGGCCTCGTATAGAGCAAAATTCAGTATTCCCTCGTTATTCATGAACTTGCTATCCACGATTTTGGCTATCCGCAAATTGCATCTAGAACTCTGACACGACCACTGCAACGAGAGAGATAAAGTGATGAGAGATAAAGTGATGAGAGATAAAGTGATGAGAGGGAATGTGATTAGTGAAATTGATGAGATCAAGTGATGAGACAAAGTGATGAAATAATTTTCCCGTATTTAATAGCATATTTACGTTTTTATTTAAGGTAAGGGTTAGTCAGCCAATATCATTAATGACCACCTTCAATGTAGTCGTTGCTCTCCATCCACATCAGCCGGATGAAAGAAAGCTTATCCGCAAAAAATGTGCTGTTCACGAGCACCTCCGGAATGTATCCCTCGCGAAATGAACGGGGGAACACTGCGCCTGATTCTTCAAAGAATCGCCACCGCTGACGGTTTCAAACGGCAAGTTTCAACGATCGTTGAAACTGCGAGCGATCAAAAAAAAAAACGCCACGGTGCAAATCGTACAAAACCTGGCTTCCTGCAAGAGACTTCGCTCCAATACGGGAAACTATTTTGCTAAATACGCGAGGCCGTTGGGAATGTATACGGCACGCCCCTCATTTGAGAGAGTGGCTTGCGCAAGAGCAAACAGGGTTGTTGTTTTTTTTGTTCCAATAGTTACCCGTGTTCATTTTGCACACACCGAGTTTTAATAACGTTGGGGAACAGCTCGCGCGTAAGCCATGCGTGGTCGCGCGATGTTAAGCTGCTTTGTTGAGCTATCGTTTGTGGCCAGGTCGCTGTCTGAAATAGAAGCTAATTGCTCAGTGGGCCTTACCTGGTAGAATATAGTTTAGTTTAACATAACAAATTTTTTGTGATTTGCTTACCTTACCTATATTTTGGACTCCGATCGTGTTTTTGTACAGTTTGTTATTTTAACTTTCTGATCCTCCCCGAATGGACATCTGTGAAAATGAGCTTCATAGCTCATCGGATTCCTCCAGTCCAGTACAAGTAAATATTATTATTCTGTTGCTTCTGATCTTCTGGCTTTGTTGAAACACTGCAAAAGGATTAACTGCGCCAGTCACATTCGGACTTTGGTAAGAATGCGAAGAGGGTCTGTACGCGCAAGGCTTGACAGTCAAAGAGTCCTTGGTTGGTAAGGGCGTAGCAATTAATCGGGCAGTTACAACATTGTATTCAGACCAGCACCCAGTCTATAACTATAATATAAACTATCTTTTTAGTTTACCAGGTAAGGCCCACTGAGCTGTAGAGCTATTTTTCCAGAAGCGACCTGGCTTTCACAAATGATAGCTGAACGCAGTGGCTTATGATCATGTGGAAATTTATAGCAGTCAAATACCCTAAACGCACGTCGATTTTGAATGTGGAGGGGAAAAAACCAGAGGACCCGGAAAAAAGTCCATGCGACCACGGAAAGAACTTGCAAACTGCAAATATACAGCAGGCTTCAGGGTCGGGATTGAACCCACGACCTCCTGTATACCAGGCGAGGTAGTTAACATCTCACCACTGTGGCACCCTCGGACTCAGAACTTTGCATTGCCCATCTCTGGGTCTGCGCAGTTACACAAGTGTTGAGACAGCAGATGCCAAGTTAACATCTTGCAACACCAATATTTGTTTCCTTCGATATTTGAATCAAGTTGTAATCTTAAGTTAACTGCACTGATGGGCAGGATGCTCACAAAAGCTGACAATACATTAAATATAAGGCAACGACTGTTTTTTGTTAACGCTAACAACCACCTTTCTTGGAATCCTCACAACTAAAAGCGAATGGATTTGTTGTTTTTGTTGGCCTGCTCGGACTGAACGTGCCAACTCCCACTCTCGGGCCAACGTGAGAAATCGCGATGACGAAATCGACAGTGATAGCGACGGCGCCAACAGGGGGTGTTGGCTATCGTTCAGCTTGCTGCAACGTAATCACGCGGCGGCGGTGACCTTGCAGAAGTGTTTTAAACAAACGAGAGAGTTCCTACCGCTGGCGTGAGTAACACTCTTTCTAATCACAAGCACTGCGGGGGCGGCAGCTGCAGTATCACCGCGCACACGCAGCTTGCTTACGCCTGCGTTACGACGCAGCTTTTACGATCCTGCAAGAGGAGGGAATGATGGAAACACACTCTGACCTACGGGGGGAGGGGGGGGGGAGTGGTATAGCAGCGTCAGCCCGGCTGCTGCTGCTCCCGACGGCAACTGTTTTTGATATTCGAACACGGCCTCAAAACGCAGCCACGGCGGTCCCGCTTCGGCACGTTTAAACTGCTTAGACATTTGAACGCGCCGACATGGCCACCTATGCACGACGGCCCGCTCGCACGTGCGCGCTTCCGCATCGCGCCCTCGACGGTCGCGCCGCTGACACCTCCGTGCCAACTCTTCCGAGCCTCAGGATGCACGGTCAGACCGGCGGGGTTCCGAAAACCTCAACGGCGCCCCCACCAGCCAATCGTCGTCGCCGTCGTTGCTGTCACAGTGCGAGAAACCGGCCGTGGCCCTCGCTAGCGGACTGCCTCGCGAGCCGGGCTTGCCACGCGGCTCGCCGTGGGCCTGCGAAGCAGCCGGTTGTAGGAGGGGGCTCCAACCCCCTCGTGGAGGCTGGCCCTTACAAATCGTCTCTGCTTTCCAGACGCTTCAGCTTCAGCGCATTTGCGATACGCTCGCCATCCGGCGGACCCGGGCTCTCGGGGAAGAAGGTGGGAGGGGTTTCGGTGAACGCGTAAACGGAGGAAGCGACGGAGAGCTGCGTAGTCTCAGGTGGCCGTGCGGGGAGGTGGCGGCGCTCAGTGGATGGTGGCACGGAGCTCCGTCTGCCCACGCAGGCGCTTCAGGTGGCAGCCGTGGCACAGCAGCCGCCCGTCCAACGGGTAGCAGCGGTGCCCCTCCTCGTCGCTCAGCTGCAGGCTGCAGTCCTACGGTCGCGCACACACACACACGCACGGGTCACACACACACACACGATGCGCGAACATGTGGCGAAGCGCGTGCGGCACGCGGCGCTACGTGCGCACGCAAGAGATGTGCAAACTCTGATGATGATAATGGACAGTGCATATCATTATCATCATCAGAGTTGTTTCTTTTTGTTTGCATTTTGACTGCTTGTGTTGTGGTTATTGCAAACATGATGCCTTGTATAAAGGTGTCAGTTTTTGTACCAGTTGAAAGGGTAAAAACCCATCACTATACATACATTTTTTTATAAACAATTTTTCTTATAAGTGTTTGGCAGCTCTCTCAAACACGGGTGCGAGAAATCGATTTGAAACCAAACGAACTCTCGGTTGCCGCTCGAACGTCAAGCCCCCCCCTCCCTTCCTCGTTACTTTGAGGAGCAAACGGCCGGCAAACAAAAGGGGGGGCGGGGGGCTGCGCAAACGGAATGAGGAGAATGTTGGGGCGTTGGGCGCGTTTGGGCAGCTCCCACAGATCCCCTGGATCAATGACGATGGCGGCGGCGGCCGCTTTCATCATCGCAAAGCGAATGCCTGCACGGAAAGAGACGGCCGCTTCCCTGACTACAACTGCAGCGACAGCGTGAGCTGCTTGCCTATCAAGAGTACAATACACGCGATAATACACACAACAACACGCACGTTCAACAATACACACAACAATACAACAATACACACAACAATACAACAATATAACAACACGCACCTTCAACAATACACACAAGAGTACAATACACATGATAATACACACAACAACATGCACGTTCAACAATACACACAACAATATAATACACACAATACAACAATACACACAACAATACAATAATACACACAACAACACGCGCACATTCACCAGCAGGTCAAACGACGTTTGTTGTGCGGCCCAAAGCAAACATTTTTACAAATTGCCCCGGATACAGAATCACAAAGGCAGGGATCCCCCGTATAGCCTTTAACAGATGTTTGGGGCAAGTGCTATTAAGCGATTTACACCTATGAAGGCTGGCACAGCCCACGAGAGGGTGGGTGGCCAGCGCCACACCTGTCCGCCTTTGTCTCCCTAGTGCCGATGTTTACACACTGTGCCAGGTACTCATTTGAGGCCGAGTCGACCTAGGGGAGGCCCAGGACCGGTTCAGATATTCAACACTGGTTTCGGCCGTGAGCGAGAATCAAACCCCGAGCCGCCAGGGGTTCGTGCCGCAGCGCGCTAACCGCTGCGCCACCGCTCCCCCCCCCCCCCTCCAGAACCACAGCCACACCTCTTTGAAACGCTCGCTTGCACCTGCGCCTCCGTGCATTCTGCGATTAGCGAAACGTCTCTCATCGCGAGACCCGGCTTTGTGTCTCTCACTCTCGATTACTCACGCGCGGCCCTGTTCAAACGCCACAAAACAGACAATGCGGCTGGCCCCCCCACCCCCCACCCCTAGCCACTTTCGTCCTTCCATGTAAAACAAAAAAACGTAAAAGGGATAGTGTTTTTTTTACCGTGCCATTACCCGCACAGCCCTGCGGGAGTCGAATTTCCTCAGCAGCAGTGTTGGTTTATATTCTTAGGTGTTTTCTAGTAAAGTCACGTAGGCAAAAAATAAAAATTAATAAAAGTAAAATAAAAAAATAAAAATCACGACGTTTCGGAGGCAACACAAGCTTCCGTCTTCAGGTGGAACAGTCACAGCACGATAGCTGTATCAAGTGAGAGAAATTCCAAGAAACCCGTATTTGTATATATATACTGGTTGAGGGTGGGAGGAGCCAAGGTAGGCCCTGAATATTATTTTTGTGAGGTTCGGTGTGCCTGAAACACGCTGATGGTTTAATACGAGCATTAACTCTGGACTAGTTTCAACGTGTCACAAACTCATTGACTGGCTGAAAGATCTTCGTATATGGAGGACGGCAGACATTGGGCAACCGTCAGTAGTGCCGGGCTCACTGTCTAGCTGCCTTCACGCTCGTTTGTGGTCCCTCGCGCCTCTCTCTTCCAGAGTAAGCCAATACCGTGCTGCCCGTTAAGAGTTAAATTGAACATTATTATTATTCATCGGCAGATTCCAGCTCGCTTAAAACCACCGCTTTAAACGTCGTCTAGTAAGTTCAGACGAGCGACGGAAACTAATCGTTCCATCGTTCGGACAGCACGCAAGACGGAAACCTTACGGTGAACATTCATTCAAAGGGTGGAGGATATTGTGCCCCTGCCAGACGTTACGGACCTTGTCTTCCTCTACCGCAAGTGGCCAAACTTAAACCGCAATCCTCGCCGGTGAATTTGCAACAATACCACAAGAAATGTGCCTCCGGACCCTGGAGACCACCTGGAGAGGATTCCAGGCGCGCGTGGGGACATTAACGTACATTTGTTATCATGTCACAGTGTCTTATCCGTTCTTTTCCCATTAAAAACACTAGTCCCATTTAAGTGTTAACGTGTTTTTGAAGCACCCTGTATATTCTCTTTGAAAGTCGGCAGAGCGCACAAACGCACTCGACGTGCATCGACGACACGCCAACGCACCGAGAGGGATGCACCGAAAAGTGAACTCAAAAAAACAACTCGTAACGCTTGCGAAAAGTTGCTCGATAACCTTTACACAGACTTTTCCGTGCCTCCGGTTAGCGCGGTTGGCTACGTACGGTGTGAAAGCAGTTTAACATGCGTACATACATCCACACATACGTGCAAATCTGGAAACAAACGAGCGTACAGACGCGACAATACGCGCGTAGGAACAGTGACGTAACGTTGGCGTGCCGAGCACGCCCGACGTTTCCCGCTACGTTTCCGCTGTTGAGGGCAACTTGCCGTGTGAATGTAATATCGTCGTCCGGTGCGAAAGAGGATCAACGTACGTACGTACACCCGTCAGGCCAAAAACGGGGTTACAACTCTCTGGGGGTTTAAGTGAATGCACGACTGAACCGTCGTGAAACTTCGAGGGCAACGGAGACTTCACTTACTTCACAGTGGTAGCACTCCACGTGGTAATCGTTGTCCATGGACACCACCCGTATGGTCTCTTCAGTGTCCTGGGCCAACACGACAAGGAGCAGGCACACGTTCACAAACAAGCGGCCCTTTCGAAAAATCACCGAGAGTTAAGAGACCTTCAATAAACAATAACAAAGATTCCCCCGTGTAGCCTTAACAGACTGCAGGGGGTCAACGTGCTGTTAGCGAGCAGCAACCTACGAAGGCCCGACATGGCGCACGATGGCGGCGGGTGGCCAGCACCACGCCCGGCCGCCTTTGTCTCTCGCCAGTGGAGAGGTTTACACACCGCACCAGGTACTCATTTTAGGCCGAGTCAACCGAGGTTGAGGCCCAGGACCGGTTCAGATAACCTTGTCACTGGTGTTTGGCCGTGAGCCAGAATCGAACTCGGGTCGGCACTGCGGTAACTGCTGCGGCAATCGTCGAATATCAACACACACACGCCGCAAACGCCGCTGAGCCTCACGACCTTTCATGTGCTACCAGCAAGGGTAATACCAGGGCCAGTGGGGTGTTCTAAATTTGGAGACAGCCACAGTGTCAACTGCAGGGGTCGGTAACCAAAATAACAGGAGGCATTTTTTTCGAATTCGGTAAAACCCCAATTTTTTTTTCTATATTTCAAGAGCCACCAATGTGCGTGAACAACGTAAACATTGTAAAAAAAAAATAATAATAATTAAAAAATAATAGCTTTGACCCTTTCTGGCAATAACACAGGTGTTAAGATGTTCAAACACCAAATATAAACCTTTTGCAAGGAACCATGTCTGCATTAACCACACGTACTTGTGGTGAACATGCTCAAAGAGCCAGCCAAAACATCTCGCGCTTTCAGATACGCTTCTACGGCCGTCTGGAACGCTCTTTCCTTCCGATATTAGGAAGCCACTGGAGCTACGCACTTTTAAATCATCTAAATCAGTCATTCTTAACCTTGACTGCAGCCTGCATCCCCCTTTGGTTCTCAGAAAGGGCATCTCGCACCCCCAGGGCGTGCGTGCACCCCAGACTCAGAACCACTCATCATCTAGGCCGACAAACCCATTTCTTTGGAACTGCTTTTTGTGTTGGGTTTTGTTGCTCCGGAGCCGCAGGTTGACGACTTCTGCGTTACTCTCTCTCACTCTCCGCTCCCTCGATTAACATCCTTTCGTCATCTACATTTCTTCTTCCCCTCGTCCAACGAGCTATTATTTACACGTGACGGTACGGCGCCTTGCAGAAAGGAACTTTATAAGTGTAATTGATTATTGTTATCTTTTGAACTATCGATTAGTTTACCTGGGCTGGCAGGATGGGCTGGCCACAGGCGTTGCACCTCGGAGCAAACATCCTGTGGGGGGGGGGGGGGGGGAGACAGAAAGCCGTAACACCGTGAGCCAAGGCGACGCACGGTCCAGCACACGAACCAAAACGAGGAGCAATCTGCGTCTCCAGCCTCGTAAGCATGCGGCCGACACAAAGCGGTACTCTTTTTATCGACCCCTCTCCCGGAGCGATGATGGGCTGAGTCAACCCCCAACCTGGATTTAAATTCTCAGATCTTCCGATTGCGAACCGGGTAACGGACGCTCTGCCGTTGACGTCACCGTTACCAGATGACATATATCCTACGCACAACACCGTTATCGCGGACGCACGGTAGAACCACCTGTAACGTATTGAAAGCAATTAACACTGGTGGTGGTGGTGGGGGGGGAGGATAAACCACCTTGCACCTGCACCATGACAATAGGGGATGGGTGGGTGGGTGGGGGGGTGGATATGGAGCCGACCACCACTGCACTTGGGGATGGGCCTCCCCATTGTGAAGGAGAGGAGAGCTGAAGGCCACTTGAGGGTGGGTGAGATTCCACTCTCAAGCAGCCCCAGCGGATCGGTTACAAACACATTCCTCAGAGCTTCGGGGAGAAAAGACAGTTTTTTCGGCCCAACCACATTCTTGCATCTTTCGCTGCTGGAAGCGTCCTTTCAGAAACGAAGCAAAAAAAAAACCCGTCAACATTCGTCAATAACAACACTGTGTAGCCTTTAAAAAAATAAAAAACTATACATATATGTAGGACAGGCGACGTCGCGGGCAATGGGCCTACTTCATGGGCCGTGTTATTGACGAATGAGTTGAGTTGGCTTTGATGTGTGCTTGTGCACCGTACTGCCAAACGCAGCAACAGCCCTGCCAAATAATAAGTTTAACTCATGTCAATCTAGATTTGAAGCTTTCGTGACTGCAGGAATCCATACTCTTTGGTTCTTTCGGTAAAGTCACGTAGGTATAAAATAAAGTAAATCGCGACGATTGCTTGCAACACAAGCAATCATCATCAGGTGGGAAAACTCATGTTGTTTACGCATCTCATCTGCGCATCTTAAACGCACACAACACCGCGTGGAGTTCGTCAATACTATTCATCTCCTATGGGACATAAGGCCGTGCGAGCGTGTGTGTATATATGCAACGCCGGTTGCATCAGAGACAGACACAGCCCCTTGGCTAATCCACTGCTGGATGAATGCCTCCGAACGCCTTTGCCTATGCCTATCATGGAGGTTGTTTCACTCCGTTACAATGCTGGTAAGTGCAGGGAGGCAAAGTGGGGGGGGGGGGGGGGGGGGGTTTCAAGACCTGTTCAGAAATCACTTTGCCACCGATGTTAGCACCCCCCCCCCCACCCACGCAAGTGCAGTGCACCGACCACTGCGCCACGTTTCCGGGGGAGCCGCGTGACAATAGACAATTAGCTCATCGGGCGATCCCAATCCTTTGAAGTCGTTAATAACGACACGACCGCACGCTGCTAAAACTCCTTCCTACTTGCCCCCCCCGCCTGCCCCCCCCCCGGAGGATCCCCCTCTGGGTGGGGGCATTGAGGATTATTTTTTGCCCCTCGCCATCCCGACATCTGTTGCAAGCGCCGGAGAGCTTCCCCCCCTTTACCCTCACGGTTTTTCTGTCCCCCCCACCTCCCCCTGATACCCCCTGCACGTTGTACCGGACGTGTGTGCGTGGCTAAATAAAAACACATTACATCTCCATCTCCATATATATATATATAAAAGGCAAAGTTGTGAATATGTGTGTCTGTTCAAAATGTTTAGCGTACTTCCCGACATGCAACAAACTGGAAATTTGCCATGTGGGTACTTTCCAGACTGTACATCATTCAAACATTATGAAAATACACTTTTTTTGGAGGGGGGGGAGCTCAATAATGCATATATTTTTTGTATGGCAAGTGAACTGTGACGTCACATCTGTCACGTGACCCGCGCATGTGGAAGCGTAACGCATTGTAGTGTCGTGGTTAGCGCGCTGCGCTACGAACCCGGCAACCCGAGTTCAATTCCCGCTCACGGCCACCACCGGTGACAATTATTTTAACCGGTCCTGAGCCTCCCCTAGGTCGACTCAGCCACAAACGAGTAACTGCTGTGGTGTGTGAACATCGCCACTGGGGAGGCAAAGGGGGCCGGGCGTGGTGGATCCAAGTCTCGGGCGAAGCCGGGTAGCGAGTATATATATGCAAAATAAAAAAATATATAACGAGACTGCACCGAGCATACGCGACGATGAGGTCCGGTCCCTACTAGGCAGCCGCGTATAAACGTTCCCCTCCCTCGCGTGAACACACATCATTCAAAGGGGGTTGGGTGATCGTGTTTTTAAAGACGAGAGGACCACAGTGCAGGGCAACTTCTGATGCTTGTTCCGCGTAATGCCGAGTGCCTCTCACATGTCATTCGAAACTTGGTATTTTTCCCGGCCTCAATTATTTTGCCGTTACGATAGGGATTTTTGTTTTTCCCCTCATCGTTTACGCATTCGAAAAGAACGTCCGGCGATAGTTTTGTAACGTTCTTTACGTGTATTTTTAACAACCATTTTTTAAATAACCAACAAATGGGGGCCAACTGTACCACGCAGAGGCGTAGGGCAGCCCAGCTGCAGTCAACCGATCGGCGTTATTCTTTACTTTGAAAAAATTCCCGTGGAAATCGATCACCCCCCCCTTCGGTCATTGACCGTTTAACAACCCTAGGAGAGACAAAGGCGGCCGGGCGTGGTGCTGGCCAGACCTTCATAGGTGTGTGCTAACAACACTTGCCCCAAAAGTCTGTTCAGGCTATATGTCGGATCTTTGTACTCGTCTTTGTGTGGGGGAGCGGTAGTGTAGCGGTTAGCGCGCTGCGCTACGAACTCAGAGACCCCAGTTCCATTCCCGCGCATGGCCAACACCAGTGACGGTTATCTGAACCAGTCCTGCACCTCCCATAGGTCGACTCAGCTTCAAATGAATACCTGGTGTGGTGTGTAAAAAACATCGCCACTTGGGAGACAAAGGGCTTTGGTGTTGGCCACCTACCCCCTCATGTGCCGTGCCGGCCTTCATAGGTGCTACTCACTAACAGCACTTGCCCAAAAAGTCTGTTCGGGCTCTACGGGTGACCTTTGTCTTTGTGCGTGCTTGCGTGCGTGCAAGTGAGCGGTGCCGTGCGACGGTACTTGTGGTAGTCGCGCACGCAGTAGATCTTGTTCTCCACGTCCACGGTGAAGGGGACGCCGTCCAGGCACTTGTTGCAGACCACGCAGCGGAAGCAGCCCGGGTGGTACGACCGCCCCAGCGCCTGCAGGATCTGAGAGAGCACGAGGAGGAGGAGACGCAGAGCTCCCGTTACATCACCGCGGGGACACGCTGCACCGCACAGCCCGCGGGCCGGGAGAGGCTTTCCGATTGGCCCGCCGAAGCCACGGCCCCCGCCGGCAACGGCCGAGAGAGACGCGGTTTAGCCGAGGGGGTGGGTGGCCGGTTTGCCGAGGCGTGAAGATAGCGCAGATGAGCGCGAGATGGTAGCGCGATGAACAAGAGGGACGAGAGAGAGTGGCAGATCAGAGGGCCCGCGTGTACGGGGCAACCGCTGTGGTAACAAACGCGAGCGAAACGTCCTGCGGCTGCCTTGGGCTGCGGTCGTCCCTTGTGGCAGAGCTGCTTGGCTCAAAGGGGCCTTTGCCATTGACAATCTAAACCGATCCTGGGTACCGGGTTCACCAACATTTCCCGCGGCCAAGAGGCGTCTTGGGGAGGCCTTTATCCAGCGGGGGGGGGGGGGGGGAACAGAATAGCTGTGACTGCAGTGGCGGTTGTTCGCTACGAGGAGCAGTACACCGGCGACCGAGGGCCCGCGCCCCGCGTACCATCTCCATGATGAGGTGTCCGCAGCCGTAGCACTTTTCCGCGCTCTGCTGGAAGCCCGAGTACTGTGGGAATAAAGCACAAGGAGATCGTTCAACTACGAAGCGGCGAGTCGACGCGGTTTCCCGCGTCGCTGGGCGCGGGGGACCGGCGCCTGTTTCCGGTTTTACAGCCCTGGCTCAGCGACAGAAATTCACATCCCCGTTGTGTGTGGGAGGCGGTCCATCCGCACGAGGATCGTTGTCAACGTGCCACAAAGTAGTACGCACTGTAGCGGCCACAGAGGGATGAGTCGACCTCTGACCTGGATTTCGATCGCAGCCTCTGGTGCACCACCCAGCCAGGTTTTGTCATTATGATAATAGTACAGGCAGAGCCGTCCCTAGGGAGGGCGGCGGATCGGGGCAACTGCCCCGGGCCCGCCGCATTGGGGGGCCACGCGCTTTGACGTCACGGTGTCAGATGTAAAAGAGTAAGGTGATACCATCACCTCATTCAATTTAAGACCGGAAACAGGAATACTTCTTAACAATTCTGGCAAATACGCCTGATGAGGCTGGTTGTAATCACCAGAGAAACATCGCAAGTACTCAAACTAAATAGTACATTTTTTTACGTGACAAACCCTTCCTAACTGGCTGTGTCTGGGGCGGCGGTGGTGGTGCGGTCACGTCGCTAAAGTTCTCTTGCGGTGTCTTTAAAAACAACGGCGCTGCTACGCCTCGCTAGTGATAAAATGTAACACCGAACCGCTCGCTCGTTCAAGTGATTCAGCACCGAACGGGAGACGTCTCTGTATGGGGAAAGGGGTTTCAGGCGACGTGTCTCTGCGATGCACGCGGCGGCATTCGCCACCGCACTGTGTTCTCACGACGACGCCTGCCCACCTCCTCCGCGATGACGACACGCGCCAGTTTCATCTCCCGCCCGGGCTGCACACGCGTCGTTTTCCCCTCTCCGACCACGCATCCCTTCCCCGCCCCGCGGATTGCTCAATTCCCCGTCAAACAGAAACCGATTTGTCGAACGGGGAAGACACGGCAACAGCGTGTCTTGCGCATCAAATAATACCCGCGTGATCCTGATTGCGTCGAGCGGTGGAAAATTTAAGGCGGTTGTCACGCCGAACCTGTGAACCGGGTGGGACCTGGGTTCGACTCCCGGCCATGTCTGTAACATCGGCGGCGGGCGAGGGATATCTGAACCAGTCCCACCCACCGATTCGCCAACCCGCATTGACCGGCGTGGGGAAGTATGGTCAAACAACACCCCCCAATCATCAACACAGACAAAATGGATCCAATATTTTACTATTATGATAATCGAATAACCCTACCACTGCATAACTATTAACTATTGTTTATTTTACCAGTTAAAGCCCTCTGAGCTATGTAGCTCTCATAAGCGACCTCGCCACAAATGATAGCTCAACGAAGTGGTCTATCGTGTGGACATTTAGAGCTGCCAAATACGCGCACGTTGATTCTAAATGTGTTCTTACCAGATAGTCTTCCTCGCAGTATATTTTTCCAGTCACGTTGTAGAAGGCCTTTCCCCGGAGTGTCCGACCTGAATCAAACGAAAAATCAGAACACGTGTGAAGTTGTTACCAGGTGTGGGGGAGAAAACGTGACACAATAAAAACGATGCGGTCAAACCTCGGCATAACATCTCAAGGAACCGGAAACATCGCTCGGTGTTTCACTAATTAAGATTGTATTTACAAAACGAAATAGGAAATAAACGTGAAACGAATGTGGTAGGTGTCGAGTATGGAATTTAACACGTGCTGTTGATATTTTTTGTTACGTTTCTTGTCCGATCTCTCCCGCACCTCCATTAACACGGTTGGCTACGTACGGTGCGAAAGATGTTCAACATACATACATATGTATGGTAATTTATAGATTATTAGATAATTAGTTAAGGTATGCTCGGCATCCTCCCACCATAAAGGGAAAGGCTCTCTCTGACCAAGTATTCCGAGTTTCAATAAGGTTTTAACGTATTTTTGCGCCGTTAATATGAAGAGAACACGCTTTCAACGTGTCCAACAGGAGGTGCCACTTGACCAGTCGCTGTGTTAATTTCCCATGGGAAATAAATCCAGGCGAATATGAATGTTCTAGGGAATATACGCAGACCAATTCAGTGCTTCTTACAAATGTTGTTTGCCTGATGAATGTCGTACAAGCTTTCACATGAATAAGTGCCAATTAATTATTGTAGTCAGTATATTTTAATATTTTAACTAGAGATGTGTTCATGATTTTTGGATGAAAGGTTTGAAAATCGCACCTAGATATGAAGTATTGGATGATACGGAAAAAAAACTATTTGTTTCAGATTTATCCCAAAGTATGATGTCACAGGAAATTATGTCACTTATATGATGTCACTTCCGTGCTTTTCCGCCATAATTGGGGTCGTGTGCCAGTGACTTTTCTTAGTGAGAAGCGAAGTTAAATAAAATTTATCGCGTAATGAAAATGATCCAAAATCTGAACATGTCCTTAAAAATCCAACATCTGAAATTTTTTCATCGGAAACCCATCCCTATTAAGTATCATTGACAACCACGCGGAAACTTGGAAAAAACAGTGAATCATAGGGCAGGAACTAATTTATGAAATTACGTAACTTTTGATTCAAATCTGTCTTCAAAGCACAAGGTTTTAAAATGATCCTAAGATGTCGACAATATTTCCCTCGAGTATATCCTCAAAATTATTTCTGCGTATAACCTACGGCATGCTTCCCAGGAATCGCTATAGCCGTAAACAATTACAATTTATATCACAAACACCCATAAGGATTCATTCATCAATGTGCCTCGACTCAAGGTTTAGGAAGTTGGCAAAGGCTTTTAGATTTTTTTTTGACCACCAGTTAAAGTGGGAATGTGAATGCGCATTGCCCAGCCAAGGCATCAACAGCAGCCACTGCTGCTTCAGTGGCTCCCTAATACTGTATCGGAAGGAGACGTGCAAAATCAATGCATGACCTCCCAAGATCTGCTTTTACAACACAAATTAGTTGGCGACGCGTCTGCGTTGTCATTATTGCACATTAACACAACAGAAAAACTCAACAAATTCGTCTACAACAACTTTGAGGCCTTAAAAAGATTAAATATAATGGCCGACGTTTCGGCCAGTGTCTCTCTTCATCATTATACATGTGCGTGTTTTTCTGTTTAAGGTCAGTGTTGCTGATCAATGTGTCGAGTGTTTTGCTCCAATTACACTAATCCTAGCATCTTCTCTTGAGGTCACCGACCACAATGGGTGCCCACTCCCGTGGATTTATCAGTGAGCTGTCCCCCCCCTCCACCGCCCCTGCTTGCCTTGCGTAACACCGAAACAAAATGTGCGATGGATTCCTCCAATGCTTCGGTATCATTTTTTTGGAGTTCACAATTGGTTCACCGCTTGTGTGGTCGATGCCCCGGTCGGTGCTTCGTGCCGTCGAATTTGCACTGTGCGGTCCCTCGCCAATTTACCATCCCTCCACCCACTCAAGTCCGTGCGTTCCGTGAAGGGGGTACGCATTCGCTGCCAATCGACGAGTCGTCAGGACGCATCAGTTCGCTCTCGCGCGCCGTGCAACGTGAAACAAAAAAAAACTCACAGAGGAGGAGAAGGAGGGCGTTCCTCACAGAGAAGAGAAAGAATGAAAACGTGCCAAGCGATTTGGTAGCCTCGGGGAGTTCCTTTCACTCACAGCATTCTCCCCCCCTTGATCTCCGTAATGTGCAGGGCGCACCGGTGGCGAGATGTTAACTCCCTCGGCTGGTATGCAGGAGGTCGTGGGTTTGATCCAGACCCCAACACATGTTGTATATTTGGAGTCTGCGTCTCTCTTTTCTCTGTATCCCCGTGCTCGCATGGATTTTTCTTCGGGTCCTCCGGTTTCTCCCCCCCCCTCCCCCCATTTTAGAATCAACGACACACGTTTAGAGTACTTGGCTGCTATCAATGTCCACGCATTTGTGATGGCCAGGTCGCTTCTGAAAAAGAGCTACATAGAGCAGCTCAGTGGGGTCTAACCAAGTAAAACATATAGACGTATAAATAGTGGGCATCGTCGCTCGACTTGCATCCCGTCAGGAGGGATTTGAGTGCTCTGAGGTTTCCCCCCCCCTCATTCCCAGCCCTCATCCCCCAACACAAAACTAGTTTTGCTAGAAAAGTGCGGCTGAAAATGCTGTGCGGTATTCTCGACCAAAATCGGCTCACAATGCTGTTTTTTCTTTCTTTAAAAAACTTTCAAAGGTTTCAACGGTTTGAGTTTTTTGCACGATGGAGGCCGTGAAATGTTTTGACGGTCGCATTTCGAAAAAAAGCGGGCCAATCGAACGGAAGTCGCAAACGGGGTCGAGCACTTTTTTTTTGGCGGCCAGAGTTCGGCGCGAGGCGAACGCCGAGAAAAAGTTCCGCGCAAACACGCTCCTTTACCCCCCCCTCTGACGGGATTTTACGAGTTGGAATAAAAGATTGTGCAATTCACAAACAATAACTGGAAGAAAAAAAACTGTCGTTTTTTAAAGGTCCACTGTTAAAAAAAACTTCCTTGAAATGTGACGAATTTTTCAGTGTCGCTGCGTTGGCAGCGGCGCACAAGCACGATTAACGACAAAAAAGCAACGTGTCGATGCCCTCTGAAATGATAGCTCTGAAGGACAAGCGTTGAAGCCGATCCGCACGAATTATTTCTTGAATGGTGGCCCTTCGTCTGCCCGTCTGAGCCTCGGGCAATGACACCGAGCCCGTAGTCTGTTCTCGCAGCGGTGCCTTCAGGCGAACTCTCCGAAACCAAGGGGCTTAGCGAGTGAATGGGAACAGACACACGATACCTACGTTTTCTTGTCCTTCCCCACCCCCTATCCTCCCACCGCACCTCCGATTAGCACGGTCGGCTACGTAGGGTGCGAAAGAAGTCCAACGTGGGTACGTGCATGCGTGAACGAGGGCGGGGAGGGATCTCACTCGTGCGCACGCCTCCTCATTCATCACGCGACAACGCGAAGACTGACAACGGTGCTCGTAGGACGCGCGCCACGCGCCTACTTATCACTTGAATAAAATAATGATGACAGCCCCCTGTAAATCCACAGCTGAACGATGGCTCTCCCCCCCCCCCCCCCAAGAAAACAATCTCAAAAACGCACACGTGCCGGGAAAAGCGGCACGTCACCATTGCTCTCCGAGGCAACGTCGGCGGCGCTGTGGGGTGGTGGGGGGGGCGGCACTGCGCGGTGGTGGGGGGGGGGGGGCGGCGCTGTGTGGTGGTGGGGGGGGGGGGGCGGCGCTGTGGGGTGGTGGGGGGGGCGGCACTGCGCGGTGGTGGGGGGGGGGGGCGCTGTGTGGTGGGGGGGGGGGGGCGGCGCTGTGTGGTGGTGGGGGGGGGGGGGGGCGCTGTGTGGTGGTGGGGGGGGCGGCGCTGTGGGGTGGTGGGGAGCACTGTGTGGTGATAGGAGGCAGCACTATGGGGTGGGGAGCAGTGAGCAGTGGGGCGGTGGGTGGGGGGCTTACCGCAGGAGCTGCAAGTGAAGCACGACGTGTGGTAGAGGTTGCCCATGGCTTGGCACGCCTGGCTGGAGCCGTACACCCCCTTGTTGCACTTGACGCACATGCCTGCGTCCGGCACAACGCACGACGGCAGCGCGCACGCAAAACAACAAGCGACGTCGTCATCATCGTCCGTCGCTCCATGAATAACGCCCACTCCCGTGTCCACAGGTCGGGAGGTTAACTACCTCGCCTGGTCTACAGGAGGTCGTGGGTTCGATCCCGACCCCGACGCCTTCTGTATATTTGGAGTTTGCGTGTCTCTCTCCCCGTGGTCGTGTGGATTCCTGTCCGGGTCCTCCAGTTGTTCCCTCCACGTTAAGAATCAACATCACGCGTTTAGAGTATTTGGCTGCTATAAATTTCCACATCATTTAGCTATCATTTGTGACAGCCAGGTCACTATACAGCTCAGCGGGCCTTACCTGGTAAAATAAAATAAAACGTTTCAACCTGGGGCTGCTCACGGACCATCACCACACCTCCTATTAGCACGGTTGGCTACATACAGTGTGAAAAAAGTTCAACATACAAACACACACACACGCACATACATCCTCTCATTTGATCGCCAGGCAATGCCAGGATGTTGACAGGAAGCAAAAATGACTCGCGAGCATGCGGTGGGCCATACCCCGCATTGTTGCGCCACTTGTTAACGTCGCAACTCTACCTCCAAACGACAACGACAACAACTTTTATAACGCCGCCTTTCACCGAAGGACCACAGAGCGCTGTAGGCGTGGAAATGTCAACACTCCAGAAAAATACAAATAAACTCAGAATGCACCAGACCAGACAAGACTCGGCAATTCGGGTGAAGAGATCGCACCGCGTCGTCGCTCGAGGTTCCCCGCAAAGGACCCGATGGCGTGAAGGGGAGGTCTCAACGGTGGCCCCCCCCCACTCCCCCCCCCCGCCCCCCACCAAGGCTCACGGACATGGCTGGGGAGGGCACCCCCAGGGCCCCCCCTACGAAAACTATCCAAACACCTTCGCCTGGTTATTATCTAAAATCTGCATCTCAAATATCGGATCGTCACAATATTTAGGTGAAATCGCAATTGTGGCAACGGGCTTTTCCTTTTTCTTCTTACCAAAAGTTTTTCAATGTTGGACCGTGGGCCTGCCCTGCGATTTTAATGGAGCCACGTGGAATTCCTCAATTTTTTCACGGAAATGGCAACCGCTGCGTTACGTAAGGAGCGAGAGGCGCCAGCGTCCGCGTGCTCAGCCAGGGCATCTCCATGGATGGTCCCCCCCCCCCAGGAAGGTTTCACTCCCCCCCCCCCCCCCCCACTATCGTTCCCACGTTGCAGTATTTTTTTAAATGTGAAATAGCCAGGACAGCCAGTCCCCGTGTTAGGTTCACATTGGATCGCATAGCGGTCGGCAGACCAAAATAACAAGGAGCCATTTTTTTTTTTCAATTCGCTCACAACAAAATAAATACGACAAGAGCCGCAATTGCAGCGTGAATACGAGACGGTGGGCCCTTGATAAATAACGCCACGAAAGTAGTCCTTCAAAGAGCCGCATGAAGCTCCGAGGTCGCGGGTTGCCGGCCCCTGGGCTAGCATAACCTGACAGCGTGCACGTTTTATTATCTGCGATAATCTGTTCGTACAACTTGTTATTATTTTAATGGTTGTTGTTGTTAGGATCGCACATTTGCGATGGTGCGATGCTGCAGTGTGTAATCCCCGCTTCAGTAATTTGCAAGTCAAATTTGTCAGTATTTGTGAATGTTTGGTCCAATGATAAAAATTTCTTTTTAAGCTTTTAGCTATGGGAGGAAAGACCGGGGCACTCAGAGGGAACCCACGTCGAACAGGTTGAGAACGTACAAGCTCCACACGCAATGGCACCCGAGTCAGGAAGCGAATCCAGGTGCTTGTTGCTGTGAGGCTCGACTATTAACAATGCGTTGCCACCCTTTTAAAGACAGTGGCCGCCCAGTCATCACCTCCTTTCCATCCCCGCACCTCCGATTAGCAAGGTCGGCTACGTGCAGTGCGAAAGAAATTCAACGTACGTACATACATACTCCCGAAGGCTGGAAACCCCCAGCACAAGCCACACCCAGTTTTACTTGGCTGATTGTGTCAATGATGTCACCAAGCCCCGCCCACATCACATTTCATCCAGGTGCACACGTGCCAACAGACGTTACACTTTTTCCCCCCCCCAAATGTTATCCGATTAGCCGAGTAATATCATCGGCAATCAGGAGGGTATTTGATTACTCTACTTCATAAAATATAGGACATCCCAACTCGACGGTTGATTTCGCGGCATGTTTATCTTGAGCTGCTCCGCCATCTAGGAGGCGAGCGAATCGTAGAGATTTGCCAAGTCAGCAGATGGCAGTGCATCAAAGGTCGGTTCGTCAACCCCGTCCATAGTGCGCAGTATTCATAACTGGAGAATATTTAATGACGGGGGGTGCGAGGCATGCGGGGACGATGCGGTGGAGCAGGCTCGTTCGTCACCATGCGACCGGTAAAAAGCAGCTTTGGTTGTGAGAAGGCGCACACGTACGTTTACACGCGTCCCTCGCAACAATCCCTGGGGCTGGAGGTGTGGAGTAACAGATGTGAACAATAGAAGTTGTTTCTATCGCTTGGGTCGTACAAACCCATTTCCCACATGCGTCATCACCACCCCCGCTCGGAACCTATTCACCGACACGACCATTCCCGCTCGGATGCGCTCTCAGCCTGGTTTCTGCCAGGCAGAAATATTTAGTGACGGAAATTCCACATTTATATGGCAGGGGTCACTCTCACCGTAGGAGAAAATTCCCACGAAGCGCTCGTCATTTTATATCCACCAGGGATGCATGGATGGTTCGAGTTGGTCCCCGATGGGCAATTGATCTTGTCGCTGGTGTGAACGCAAAGGCGTTCCACGCAACCACAATCAACAACGATTATCGCCGCACATCACGCGAGAACATGCCAAGTAACACCGACCCAAACATTCCCATGAACTCCGCCTGAACGGCGCACGTCACGGGAACTTTCCTGAAAACTGTTGTCTCCATGAGGACCGAGTGCAAACAGCTGTGGAGCATTTGTACCGATGTTCGGCGAAATGTGAACACTCCTTGGCAGAGGCCAGCATTCTCCAATGCCGGTGGGGAGGTCCCCCACGACTACGAGCAGTGGGGGAGGTGAAATGCTCCGTTAACCCCTTCTCCCCGTTCCAAGACGTCCTGCAGGCTGTGGGGGGGGGGGGGGGGGGGGGGGGGGGGGTGTGTCCCCGTCCACCGCTGAATCTCGGGAAGGTGCAAGAGGCCCGGCTCAGCGCCGCTGTTTTTAAAGACGTCGTTACTCACCACGGAGAAGCGTTGCGACACGACCGCGGCAAACTCTGCGACAGCCGGCGCCAAACTTTGCCACACGCCCTGCCCGCGTGGCCTTGTGAGGGAGCCTCAGTACTGACTTTACCGAAAGAACCAAAGAGTATGGATCCTTGCAGTAACGAAAACTTCAAATCCAGAACTGACGAAGTCATTTCATTTCAGTTTTCACTCCGGCGTGACGTGCACGCGCACGTCGTCGGAAACGGAATCGGAAGAGACAAACCGATGACGTGCACGCACGCCACCACTATTTACCGTGCACGCGTAACGTCGTCGGAAGGGCAAAGGGTGACGTGAACCAGGCTCGTCCCTCTCAGCTCCACCGCCTGAGTAACGGCGCTGCCGTGACGCGCACGGCTCACACCCAAAGTGTGCTTTGAACGCATTGTCGAGCGGCGTGAATTTTACGTGAGCCGCGAACCGTACTCTCCGGATATATAAGACGCTCCGGAAAATTATGACGCAACGCCACCACTCCACCTCACCGCCCCCTCATACTGGGGAAGCGAGAATCGAGGTGTAAAATGTAAAGTTGTGCAATCTAGATTGGACGCTGGCGGAAGAAAATTACCGTGGTTTATAAAGTGGGACCATACGGTACTAAAACGGAGTGCAGCATTCCACAAGACGGTGATGAATGCTCCGCTTTGTATATGAGGAGAGACGGTTTATGGAAGATTATTACAGACAGACTGCTTAAAACACATCTGGAGCTATGTACTTTCAAATCTCGATTGAAAACTCACGTCTTTAAAACCGCTTTGTGCGTTTAGTTTGTTGTCCTTTCCACCGCACCTCCGATGAGCACGGGTGACTATGTACGGTGTGAAAGAAGTTCAACATAAACACATAACATGGGGAGAGATAGTTTCCTCTGGCAGGCTGGTGGCAGTTCCCCCTGACTGGTAATGTACTGGTAGACTGAAATTCGGCCACGTGGTAGATTTAGGCTAAAATTATTGCCATTTAGCCTCTGCCGTCTTCCGGATTATAAGACGAACCACCCAGTGTCTGTCTCTACAACATTGGAACCTCCTTTGCCAGTAGAAAAATATGATCATTGGTTTTTTACCCTTTTATCTGGCAACAAAACTGACACTTTTTTTACAAGGAGTCATGTTTGCATTGACCACAATACCTGCGGTCGGAATACAAACAAAAAACACAACTCTGATAATGTATACACCGTCCTTGAAATTGATTGGTCCACACCCGAGACAGCTTTGCTTAGAGCCTAGTCTCACATGGTGTTGGACCAGATGACGCCAAAAGGCGCAAAACTCAAAGACAATGCACAATCAGAGTATGAGAGCTCGTGTCAGTTTTGTTGCCAGATAAAAGGGTTAAAAAAACAATTATCACCCAGTGTCTTTATAAACCAGAGAATACGCTAACCAACAAAACCCCGCTCACATTGGTACACACCGAGGCAGGCGGGGAGACACGAGCAAATAGCGAGGGCAAATGATGAAGCCGTGAAATGAGGCCACGTGGGACTGGGAGGGATCGCGCAGCTCCTGGGAAAGACGTAAAAGAACACGGCGCCCCACAATTGTTAGGCCCTCGTCCAGCGGTGAACTGGTAACGGACGGCTACGGTTGCGCACAGAGCCAATTTGTTCAGAGTTAAATCGTCCGCGATTACTGTTATTATAATGTCCCTTGTTAATCAAGAAACGGTTCACCAAGTCTCGGAGGGG